AGCTGGCAGTATGAAAAACTGATCCCCTCGGTGCACCTCTGCGTCCGCCTCTGTACAGGGCAGGGAGAGGGACAGAGACAGATACAGAGAGTCGCTTCCATCAATCTCCATCCGTCATCCCCCCCCCCCCCCCCCCCCGCCCACCCCCGCCTGCCACCCTCACCTCCCCTCCATCTCTCAACACGCAGGCTCGGCCGGCGTGCTGGGTTCACGCCGGCTCGTCCACCCCCCCCCCCCCCCTTCCCCCACGACCGTGTTGCAGCGGTGCTGGGTTCACGCTGGCTCGGCCGCAGATACGCGACCGAGCAGCGTGACCTCCGCGGTCGTGCTGCAGAGTCCCCAGCAACCGTTGACGCATTCCTGTGTTTCTGGCGCGGCCGCGCGTGTCCGCGGGCGCGGGTTACTCCGGAGTCGGGCCATGGTAATAAGCGGGTCGCCTCCCTTTCGTGGCGGCTTGGTCACGGCGCGGTAGCCCATAGTGGGTCGGCGATCCTCGGAGGTTTCCTGGTGTACCTAAGCACTGCGATACACTAAAGGGTGAATCGGTCGGCTCCTGCAGGTCTGCTCCGCAGTCCCCGGGGCAAATTGTTCTCCACTGATCCTTTACTCTGGCGGCAGGCGCGATCCACGCTGATGCTGGAAGGGGGGGGGGGGGCGCAGTGAGCAGCATTTCATGGCTCTCCACTTGGCGAAGAACTCAACCGAGTGTGCGGGGCCGCTAGGGTGCCCGCGAAGTTGGCGATTTATTCAACGATTTATTCGGCGACGAGTTCCGATTCTCTGGAAGCGAGACTTTAGATCAATTTTAGCAAAACAGCATCGATAATGATACTCATCTTATAATATCCGAGAACCTTTAAAGTCAAAAGCAAGGTCAAAAGACGGAGAACTCCATGTCACGAAAAACAACCAGCCTATTTTAAAACCTGCAAGCATCAAATACACCTAACCGCAAGAACTAGCGACCTTCAAAATGTCCTGACCTCTCAAGGTCACCTTTCAACTTCAAAGGCAGGCTCAAAGGACGGGTAAATCTATTTCCCTAAAAATTACCGGCCAATTTGAAGCTTTCGAATCTCATAATTTTCATCACATAAGGAGCTAGCGTCCGTCAAAAAAGTCCTGACCTTTCGAAGTTACCCTTCGAAGTTACCCTCAAGGTTTCCAACAGAGGTCGAACTAAGGCTCAAAGGAAGGAGACTAGGCGATCTGTTCAG